TTTTTTTTTTTTTTTTTTTTGGTACTGGGGATTGAACTCAGGACCTTGTGTTTGCAGGGCAGGCCACAGTGCCACTGAACTAAATCCCCGGCTGGTCTTTTCCACTTCTCATGAAACCATGAACATCTGTTCATCCTACTGTCCTTTATAGTGCTGAAATAACACTGTTTGCGGGTCCCAATTTTCTTAACTACTCACTATTTTGGACATGAGTGTGACTTAAAAACATTTTTAAAAGGCAAAACACACAGGATGTGATATTCTAACACAATGAAAAGTACAAATAAGGAAACAAGAAAGATCCATAATTCCAATAACCAAAATTACAATCTACTTTTTTTGGTACAAGGGATTGAACTCGGGACCTTGCACTTACAAGGCAGGCAGCGGAACCACTGAGCTAAATCCCTGGCCCTACACTCTTTACTTCTTACTTCCTCTTGTTATATAAATGTAGCAAACCCATTTTCATCTGTGAACTTAACTGGTTCAGACAGTTCAAGGCCCAGGCTACTGCACACAATTAAAACTTACAGCACTGTGAATAAATGTAGGAAGTGCAGCAGAGCTCTGAAGTCTTCATGCTAATTGCACATTTTATAATAATCAAACTCTTTCTACAGGTTTCCTCATTCTTAGGCACTACCAGGAGTAGCACAGCGTTGTAATGATGCACTGTACCCTGCTGCTTAGTGTCACAGTTTAGTAATCCCAGGGCTTCTCAGTGGTGGCACTGTCCACACTGGGGCGTGGTGGTCCTTTGTTGTGGGGCCAGCCGTGCACTACAGGTATCTGGCAGTGCCCTTGGCCTCTGCTCCCTGGGTGCCCTCTCCTCCACACAGCCGTGACAACCAGAGATGGCCCACACCTGACCACAGGCTCCTGAGGGAGCAGTTCATGCCCTGCTGAGAATCACAGACAAAGCCACTCCCCCAGTCATGGAGCTCAGAGGCTATTTCCAGTTCTTTGTTCTTACAAGGAGAAGACCACAAATGAGCACATTAAGTTAGAAGTAAAACGGCAACAAAAAGAGGCTGCTGTAAGCATCCAGGCATTTAGATCTTGGTGGTCCTGAGTTCCTAGCAGGGAGTGGCTCGGCACAGGCTGGGACACGCCTGATTCTGACAGTTCCAAGTCACCTCCCAAAGGCCAAAGCAACGGCAGGAGGAAGGGTTTATTTAGCATCAATGTTTAGAAACGTTTGCCAGTTTGGAAAGTGGGAAACATGGTCACCTAGTTTCCTTATCGCTCTTTTAAAAAATAATTATGAGCCAATTCAAACATATGTATTCCCCATCTGAACTTTTTTCTCGCACAAGCTCCTTCTCTTGGTCCAATTTTCTACTGGTTCATATGTCCTTTATAAATGTCTATCTGTAAATGGAAGAAGTAAAGCCGGGCGTGATGGCTCACACCTGTAATCCCAGTACTCAGGAGGCTAAGGCAGGAGCCTCACTGAGTTTGAGGCCAGCCTGGGCTACACAGTGAGTTCAGAGCCAGCCCAAACTACAAAGTGAGACCCTGCTTCAAAAAGCAAAAAATAAAATAAAATAAAATACAAAAATAAAAAATTGTTGCCTAACAAGTTTTAATTGGCATATAATCAATTAGTCCATCGTTTTCCTTAAAGCTATTAAGTTCAGCAAATTGCTTAAAAGGGTCCTTCAATCCTTAATAATGTTGCTACAAAAAGTAAGACAAAGGTCCATCATTCTTTTGTTTCCATTCAAAAAAGTTAGTGGGTGAGGGTGTCACTCAGGGTAGAAAACTTATACAGAGCATGCAGGACACCTGAGTTCCATTCCCAGGACAAAAAGGAAAGCAAAAGAAAACAAAATGAAAAATTGTAAGAGGTAACTGCTTGTCCCACGACTATTTACAGAATGATCTGACTTGTCCAATAACCTGTCAACCCTTTCCCCTAAACCAAAATGTTCTAACTGCTGTAGCTTTAAAATAATTTTTCAGCACTGGTTGGTGGTGGGGTCTGCTCTGACACTTCGCCCAAGGTTGTGCTGCAGTTTTTCACTACTTAAGGAAGGACTAGGAGTGTTATATTCTGGGGAAGAAGCCTGGCTTTCCATTTATGTAAACGTTCTTAAGTCTCAGTGAAATTTAACATTTCTTTTATATAGAAGCTCCCAAACTTTTATTAGAATGCCCAGTAAGTCCCCTCTCCCCAGCAACATTCGTCAGAATATCTAGTTCACGTTTGGTTGTTATGTAAAAGAAGTTTTTCTTCCCCCGTTATTGTTTGTGTAGAGGAAATGCACAAACTTCTGGGCATTACATTTGCAAGTATCCATCTAACTTTTTTTTCTTAAGTAAATAAAACGTGTCTTCCTGCATGGCTGGTATCATAAGGATTATGATCCAAAATTCAGACAATTCACTCATAAAATCCCAGTGTCTGCTTCTCAGAACTTTGAGAAGCACTGTATTTGTAAATACACAGATTTGTCAGTATTTGGAATATTTGTCAATACACAGATCATCCAAAGAGATGAACACTTTGAGAGGGAAAGGGCTCAGTATTTTCCGAACGAGCACAAACACTCCGTTTACAAATGTGAAAGGACAGCAGATCTCACAAGTAATTTAAAACATAGATTGAAGTGTGATGCATTTTTGCCTGTCATATTGGTAAACATTAAGGCAATACTAATACACGGCGTCCAGGGAAATGAGTAGTCTCACCTCTAGAGGAGAAGGGCGGGGGACAAGTGACATTCTGTCAGTGCCTTCAAAATGCACATGCGTGTGCTGACGGCACTAATGCCCTGGGACGAGGGCTGTCACACTCCAACTGCCCCCATGCCTGCTTCTGTACGGCCAGTGCTTCGTCACACTGTCAAAGCATTTTTTTAAGAAGAGAAAAAGTGGGGGCTGGGGATGTAGCTCAGTGGTGCCGCCACCTGTCCCACAAGCGCAAAGTCCTGAGTTCGATCTCCCATACTAATAAAATAAAAGAAGAAAAAGAACAGCAGATGACTTGGCTAAGAAAGCCTACAATATTTACTAGCTGGTCTTGACAAAAATAGTCTGCTGATCTCTGATTGCAAGGAACTGCATTAGTACTTCTTCCAATTTATCCTGGGTAAATACATCAACGAACAGGATGAGGAAGGGAGAGCGCGCTGCATGAAAGATGCCACCATGGCGGTTTTCAAAGATGTTTACGATGTATCAGGACAAAGGGAAAGAGGTCGAGCGGTGCTCGCTTCCTTTGAAGGAATGCTTTTGTTTCTTTCGCACCGGGGATTGAACTCACAACCTTGCACATGCGAGGCAGGCATGGTGCCTCTGAGCTAAATCCCCGGCCCCGGAATGCTTTTTAAAAACAGGACACACAGAGAAGGGACGAAGGGACACAAAAAGATGTGTCACATACACGCAATGACTCCTCCAGACAAATGTCATTGTTACTTATTATAAATGTACTAATATAAATTTAAACAAAACAAAAAAATCACCATGGTGAATGTTTCTACATGAAAAAATGTTTCGGAAGGCAGGCCCCGGTGTAGGAGTGGCTCACTGCCCTAACCAGCTCACCTCTGCCCCTCAGCTCTGGTCAGGTCACCCACAGGACACAGCCCGGCACAGGTGGCCGTCACATCTGTAGCCACTGCACCTACACGCTGGCATCTTCTCTGGCTACAGCCTGACTCTCCTCGTGGTGGGGGTAACAATTTATAGTCACCCCAGCTACAGATGATTTTTACAGATGATTTAGCTATATCTCTCTGCATTTCTATATCGAACTTCTATAACTTTCAAGAGAAGGGAAATTCAGTGTGCTCTGCCTATTTAGACTCAGAGGCAGCAAACTAGAGCTGATGGGCTAGATGTGGCCCTACCTGTTTTTACACATAAAGTTTTATTGGAACACAACCATGCCCATTTGCTTACCCATGTCTTTTTTTTTTTTTTTTGGTACCAGGGATCAAACTCAGGACCTTGCACCTACAAGGCAGATGTGGAGCCAAATCCCTGGCCCTGCCCATGTCTAACAGATTCTGTGTTATAAGTGCTGGGTAAAGGAGTTTCAACAGACGCTGTACTGACCAGACTTTAGGTATTCACCAGCTGTCCCGGTCCCCTTTATAGAAAGTCTGCCCACTCCCAGGGTAGACAACAGTGAATGAATGAAGCCAGTCTTGATGCAGGTGTCCCTGATTCCTTGCAATGACAAGATAATAACATGACTGAGATGTTATTTAGCAGCCTTTCTGGCCTTGGATTTCTTCTCCATCACATTCTTAGCCCCTACTGCTCCCAGACAGCTGCAGAAGCCCCTGGCACTTCACCCCTTCCTCACCCACGGCTCCGGGGCTCCTGCCCATGTCCCTGGTGAGCACATACCTCTGTGACGCTGAACGGGGCACCCCGCAGCTTCACGGTGTGAGGGGTGGTGGGCTCCTTCTGGTTTGCTGGTTTCTCCGTCTGAAGGATTGCAGAGAACAGAGAGAAAGGGCTCCGTGAGCTCCCTGGCGCCAGGGCAGCAGGTGCACTGGGATGTCTCAGGGCGGGAAGGAGTGCCGGCTCCCTGACTCAACTCACTTCCCAGCGAAGCCTGCCCTGAACTATATGCCTGAGTCTCCTGGTGGGGGACAAGGACGCTGTCCTCCAGGGTCACAGGAGCTCTGTAATCCCCACGTCAGAGCCCAGCAGCCCGGTCTGAGTCCTGAGGCCGCTCCATCCTGGCCATCACCTTGGCTGTCCCTTTCCTTCTCCAGGCCATGGTTTCCTCGCCTGTGAAATGGGACAAGGTCACCTGTCCCACAGGACTGTGATAAGTCACAAGGACCTGCAGGTACCAGTCCAGGCTGGTGGCAAGTGCTCGGCTAACCTTATCTACTGTTCTCCGTGATGAGCTCGTTCCCATCGGTGACCCACTCACTGCCCTAGCCAGCTCACCTCTGCCCCCAACTTCAGTCGCCATTCCACACTCCCTCTGCTCCTCTGTCCCCAGTGCACACGCACCTCGGCTCCCGAGTCCTGGGGTCTCCCACGCCCAGGCAGGGCCCCGTGTGACAGGCTGGCCACCCTGTGCTCTGTCTCCTGCTCTTCCTCGGCCTCACTCTCCTCGTCGCAGTTCACGGCTCCGTCTTCACTCTCTTCCTCCTCCTCCTCCTCCGAGGACGAGGCTGAGCCAGCCTGCACCATCTTGGATTTCAGGTAGTCCATGTCTGACAGCTCCTTCTGCACGGCCGCCTTGGGCTCGAGGCCCTGCTCCTCTGGAAAAGCAGCAAGGCCAGGGTCAGCGATGTCTGCCAGCAAACAGCGACAGCAGGGGCCAGGTGGCCCATGGTGTCACACCCAGCATGGCCAGGGCCCGTCAGACTGAGGCAGGCATCGGCCGGGCACACACCCTGGCGTGGACACGGGCGGTCTCACCTTCCAGCTCCTCCCTGGCTGCCTCCTCCTCCTCCTCATCCTGCTCACTCTCCTGCCCCGAGTCGGAGTCGAAGTTCAGATAGTCGCTGGCTGGCTTGCTCTTCCCTTTAGGGGGCTCAGTGTCCAGCGCGTCATTTGCCCAGGTGGCTGCCTGCGTCCTCTTCTGGTGAACCGACAGGAACTCCTGGAACTCGGTGTCTTCCTTCAGCTGGTGGCACCAGAGCCGGCACAGCAGGGATGCAGGCAGGAGGGAGAAGAGGCAGAGTCGGTCAGGCGGGCTCGGCCTTCCTCACTCTCGGGAGGGGAAGAGCATCCTTTGCGCTCAGGTCCCCCGACCTCCAGTGGACCCCACGGGCCAGGTGGAGAAGGCAGAGTGGACTCTGCTGGACAGGAAGACAGAGCCGCAGACACAGTGCCCTGTGTCCTGGCCAGACCCCCACTGCGTGAACACGACCCTCACCTTCTCCAGTTCACTCGGCTCCCTCTTCTTGTCCTAAAAGCAGAAGGCACAGCCAGAGAGGGTCACTCGGGGAAGGGAGCCGGGACTGTCCTGCTCTGGGGAGGGACCACCCTGCTGACACCAGGCGGTAACGGAGAGACACCTGCATACTTTCTTAGTTTCCAGGCAAGCAGAGTCTTGTGAAGATGTCTTGGGCCCGCTCGGTTTCTGGGCATGTTTGCTCCAGGCTCGGGGCTTTGTCGGGTCCCCAAAGGACTTGCAGAACTCCACCTGAGAGGGCAAAAGAGGTGCTTGTCACAGCTGTCACAGCATCGGAGGGCCTGGACTTTACAGACAGGCAGCCACCACTAACTTGAGTTAACAGAAGCAAATGACATGTTATCACCCTCGACTTTGGCTGTGTCCCTGTAAAGTCATTTTAAGTCCCTTTTTAGGAGCCCACACATGGCCACTGACTTAAGCGCTCTGTGAGTGTCCAGTGCGGGTTCACTAGGCCTCCCATTGCTGGGTGCTGCTCCCCTTGAACTCCCAGACCAGGAAACCAAAGCACAGGGAAGGAAAGTAACTGGCCCTGAGGGACCCAGAGAGCACGCAACAGGGTGGACACAGGAACTCAGGGCATCTCAGGGATAGGGAGACTGAGCTTTGTATCTGACCACGCCAAAGGATGACTGCAACACGAACCCGGCCACGTGTGCCTGGTCATTCTAATCACAGGAGGCAAGCTCGGCTGGCCCAGAGAACAGCTCTAGGGTGACAGGGAAAGCGGGGTGACTGTGGGGGCCCGGAAGAGCACTGAGCATGAAGCCCATGTGGTTCCTGGGCCCTAACCCTCAAGTGCACTCTCAAGGGCAGGCTTGAGAGAGCTGGCTCTGCCGGAAGCCCACAGCGAGCGCTGCTACCTCAGCTACTCTGAGTGACACCCATGGCTGATGCCGGCTGGCCAACCACTTCTCCGCAGTGTGGCCTTCCAAGGAACTGTAATGATGAGATGTGTTCACGGCACACAACCCAAACAGTGGCGAAGAGTACAGTGGGAGTTACAAGACAGTCAATGCAGTGCCTGGCATCTGAGAGAGGGAGAAAATCCCAGCAGCAGCCATCACCGCAGGTCACACACGGAGACTGACGGGTACGGAGGTGTGAAATCCAATCACGGACGTACACCTGTCCGTCTGGATTTTCCTTGTGGGCAAAGCACGAGAGCTGCTTTACTGCGTCGTTAAATGCACATGAGGGGGCCAAGCGGGACACCCTCCTGACGCCTCCCTGACCAGGAGAGGGCCTGTGGCTCTGACGACATTGGACTCAGGCAGCTTAGGATCCACGCCTGCGCTTCCCAAAGTGCGGTCCTAGAGCCACGCCGGTGACACACGCGTACTCTCGGGCTGCTCCTCTGTGTGCTGCTTCAGTGCACGGGGATGGGACGCACACGAAAGCGTGCGGCCGGCCGCGTGGTCTGGAGAGGACAGAGGTGGGACCAAGTGTGGAGGGACGGACGCCCGGCACCACTCTGGACAGGCGGCAGGGGCGAGCCTCCTGCCCGACTCACCGTGACGCGGGCCGTGTCGATGAAGCTCTTGTTGAAGTGGCTCAGGGCCCTCTGGGCCTCCGCCTCTGCTTTGAAGCCGATGAAGCCGAACTTGCGGAACTTGCCGTCTTGGGTGAACTTGAGGCTGCAGTCAGTCAGTGTGCCGAAGGCGGCGAACAGCTGCCGGAAACGCTCCTCCTTCATCTGCAACACAGGGGGCGCACAAGAGAGGGGCTGAGGGTCTCTGGGCAAAATGGACTGAAAACCCAGAGGCCCTAAGACGTCCAGCCACCAGTGACCTGAGATGTGGAGGTGGCACCATGGGCTTTTCCGCTGTGACAGTTCATCCTGACATGGCAGCTTCGTGGGATGAAGGACCGCCTAGCAGATTAGCAACGTGTGCTCCTGGGTGCATCTGGCCGGGTCGCGGAAATGTGACCTTGCCAAAGTGTGTGTCCCTGGACTACTCCTTTCCAGTGCTGCTGCCCTGCTCTCCTTCCTGAACACCATGAACAGAACTGCTTCGCTCTGCTGTGCCCCACTGTCATAGTGTTTCTGTCTTGGAACCATGGACTGAATCTCTTGAACCCGTGAGCTATATTAAACCTTCCCTCCTATAAGTTACTGGGTAATTGGATCTCACAGAAGCTAACCAAGACAGGCCAGGTCCCAGCTGTCACCCGACACTTACAGTGTGTCCGGGAGCAGGTTCTGACCCACTTCACTGACAAGGAAATGAAACTCTTCAGGGATCTTGCTTGTTTTCCTCCCTACAGGCTGCTGTGAGGCTAAGACCAGTGGCATAATCACAGCAGAGCCCGAATGGCTGTGGACACCTAATACAGGCTGGGCAGAATAAATGAAGCAGTGAATGTGGCGAGCCAGGTAAGTGTTTGCTAACTGGAGCCTCCCAAAAGATGTCCCGTCCTAATCCCTGGAACCTTCAGTTGACATCATACTGTAAGGCAAGAGAGATCCTGCACATCTGAGGAAGAATCCCATGGTGGGGGACATGCTCTGGATTTCCCAGGTGGGACTAATGTCATCACAAGAGTCTCAGAAAAGGGAGTCAGGAGGGTCGGGCTGAGAAAGAGATGTCACGATGAAAATAAAGGGAGAGGAATCGGCAGACGCTACATTCTTGGCTTTGAAGGCTGAAGGTGAAGGATGGGGGCTGTGAACCCAGGAGGGCAGGTGGCCCCTAGCAGCTGAGAAAAGTAAAGGTACAGATTCTCCCCCATGGCTTCCAGAAGGACTGCAGCCCTGCCCAAAGCTTGATTTTAGGGTTCTGAACGCCAAAATGGCAAGAATCTGTTTGTATTATTTAAACCACTGAGATTATGGTAATTATTTAGGGCTATTGTGGACAAGTAACACAATGCTGTTACAATGTGGACAAGAGGCCTCTGCACAAGCAGAACTGGCTGTCAGCTCTCCCATCCTCACACCAGCAGGGCCGGCCTGCTCAACCCAGTAAGCTTTCTGGGCAGAGGCTGGGAGACTGTGTGTGTGGAAACAGCTTGAGGGGGCACTCAGGACCCCACCAACAGCCAAAATGAGTGTGAAAATGTAAGGACCCAGAGGCACTGGCAGCCTAATAGGAAGGAATTCTCTGGGGCAGCCTCTTCACTCTGTTCTCATTAAAATCTCAATCACTGAGTTAGGAATTTTTTACACCTGTTTTTATAGAGGAGAAAATGGAATACTTCGTCGATAACAAATGCTCTGCCCAAGGTCTACACAATCAGGGGCTGTGACTTAGCTCAGGTCTATAAAAGACAGTGAATTCAGCTGGCCATGGTGGTACACCTGTAATCCCAGCAGAGGTGGAGGCAAGAGGATCATAAGTTCAAATCCAGCCCAGGTTACTTAGTGACTCGGTGAGTTTCTGTTTCAAAATGAAAAACAAAGCTGAGCACAGTCCCACTTGCCTATTTATAGTCCTCGCACTCTGGGAGGCTGAAGCAAGAGGGTCACAAGTTTGAACCCAGCCTGGGCAATTCAGTAATAAAAAAATTTTAAAATTCTGAGGGTCCAGCTCCCTGTGAAGGCCTAGGGTTCCATCCTGGTACTGCATTAAATGAATGAATGAATGAATAAAAAAATAAAATAAGAGTGGGGGATGTGGATTATGGCAAAGGAGCTGGGTTCAATACTCAGTACTGAAATGAAAGCAAAAACAGTGAATTCATGTAGCCATGTTATGGGAGAGTCCTTGCTCAAGTCTGATCCTGCCATTCCTCTACCAGAAACTTTTGAGTGACTTCCTAACTCCTCCTCACACTCAGTTCATCACCTCCTCTAGGAAGGCTTTCCTAGACCCCCTGGATGAGTCAGGTAACCAGCCACTGCTACGCTCCCACCACACCTGGTTCCTATTTCAATCCCTACACCTTGGTCTGGCGTCTCTCTCTTCCACTACCCTGGCAAGTTCCATAAAAGCACGAGCCAAGTCTTGTCCACCCCTACCCACAATATCAGCAACACCATAAGCAACACCACTAAAATTTTTTACCTGTTGGAAAATAATTAAGACAAGTTCAGCCAATCTTGCTAAGAAAGACAGTAGAGGACCAGACTGCTCAATTCAATTCCTGCTATATGAGTTACCAACTGTCTGTCACTTCAGGCAAATCAGTTTATCTGGCTGTATCTACATTTTTCTACCTTTAAAATGGTAGAAAGAGTAGAAGCTGATTCAGGGTTAAGGAGGGGGTTAAATAAGCTACTTCATGTAAAGCACCTGATTCAGTGTTGCTAAATAGTAATCTCTTCAAGGGCTGCTACTGTTCATGTTTTTGTTATCACCGTTTCATTCACCAGACAGGTCAAACAATGAAAAGAGGAAGTGACACTGCACAATGAAACATAAACTGGGAGGGAAAAAGTGACCCATGCTGAAATTCTTAATCAAACTGCAGCATCAAGAGACACTGCTGAAAGCTGGTGGAAAGCATGTCATTGAGGGTAAATGATGGAAGAATCAAAAACAATAATAATACAGGGAAGGGAGGAATAGATCATTTAAATTCCTCATCTTTCAGAGGGGAGAGTCAGCAGACAGTAACTGGGCTAAAGAGGCCAAAAGGTGCCTAGAGATGCCTACAAGTCCTAAAAACGCGCTACTTGATGGTTACTCCTGGTTAGACAGGGAGAGCAGGATGCAGCAAAAGCCTTTGCTTCTCACTTTATACACTATTGCACTGTTTAAATTTTCAGAATTGTGTTTCGTAAAACCCTCCTATCTGACAAAGTAAAAAGAAGAAAAACTAATAGACTAGACATGGCTTCGCATTTGCTCTCTTTCTAGGGAAAGGGACACGTCCGAGAGTACAGAAGGTATCCCAGCCACCCCTGGCTCATTCTGGATTAGAGGCAGGAGTCAGTGGCCCCACCGCTCTCCACCCAAGAAGAGTAACAGTAAAATAGGAAGGATGATCCACACCGCTAACACTGCACCTTGCCATCTATATTCCTCTATTTCTTCACGCATGTTTTTATTGATTGTCCACCGTCAGGTTTTGTGGTGGTCTCTAAGAAAACAGAAAAGCATGGCTGGAACGGCCTTCCCTACTTTACTGGGTAAATGGTTTAAACTGAGTTTCATGCCGGCTCAGTGTTCTTACTTTCCCTGAGGCAGACGGAGAGAGAAATGGAAGAACTCGCGGGTCCGCATATACTAGTCAAGTGTCTCCCAAACACACTCCGAAGTGCCAGAGCAATATAAGGAAACTGTGGGAGCCGGGCATGGGGCATTGGGACAGGGTAGGGGCTGCTATCTGTCTAGAATTGTCAGATTTTAGTCAGATCCCCACAAATCACCTGTGAGACGTTTAGCAGCCGCCCACACACCCTCTTCCCCAGCAGTCAAAAGGGGATAAACCCAGGTTCCTGCCCTTTTAGGTTCCGGATCGGCCAGGAATCCCCAAAGTGAAAAACCTCTCAACTTTCTCCGACCACCTTTTTCCTCATCACAGAGCTCCCAGCTGGTCCCATTTCCACATCCCTAGTGTTGGCCCTTCACTCACCCCATTCGGGAGGTTCTTCACGATCAGTCGCGACATGGCGAAAGATCCTCGTCTGCTTTTTATCCCAGCACCACGGGACAACGTCTTCCGACTCCAACTTTCACGCTGCTGCCCTGGAAGACGCCATCTTTAGCGAGACGGAACGGTCACGTGGCACAGCCCACCCGGAAGTAGGCCGAACCAAAGCCCAATAGTTGGAGGAAGTCACACCCCTGAGGGGCGGGACCGAATGCCTGAGTTCTGCGCAGGCGCAGGTTCCTCAGCGACTCCTAAAGACGCCAATCAGCAGGTGGCGCCAGTTCCCAACATCATCGGGTAGTTGGCGGGCTATTTAATATCCAGTGCCGAGGAATAGGCGTTTTCTGGTCCCGTTCTTATTTTATTTGGAGTTCCAAAACAGCCCAGAGAGAGGGGGTAAGATAAAGGATATTTGTTCTTTTTTGAAGATAGGGAAACAGGCCTGCAAGCTGCCAGGCATTACGGATCAATCACTGAGCATGCTGCGTAATTATTAGAATGTGCATATTGGAAATGAACAGCCCCATTTTGCTGGCGGGTAAACTGAGAACCAGACGAGTGAAGCAACTTTATCAACATTATGTAGCTGTGAAAGAGTGAGACGTGAGCTGGGGCCTGCTTAGGCCCCTCCCATGAACACCGTTCCCACAGGGCCGCAAGCAATTAGGCCTCTTCCTGCTGAGCTTTCAGAGCCCGGGGACCCGCTAAGAGTTCTTGGCCGAACCAGCCTCTGTGAGCCCCTGTGCCTTCTTCTGTTAAGTGGGGTTGGTTCTGTACCGTCTTGGACGGAGGAGAGACCGCAGAGGCCTGGGAAATTAGTCCGCGGCTTCTCAGTGCGCTCCCTGCACGTCCCGCAGATGGGGGAGAATCAGCGCTTCCTTCCCTCAGGCAGTACTTCCTGTTTCGTGGCTCCCGTGGGCGCCCTGCCCAACCTTTTGTTTTCTTCACCGTAGAGACACCTCCCCACCTCCACCATCCTTTGTCATTGCTGTTAACAGCTTCACTGAGATATAATTCCCGTGCCCTGCCCTTCACCGCTGAAAGTGTAAAACTCCACGGCCTTCAGTACGTTTGCTGGGCTTTGTCCCTGGGCAGTTCCTCCCCGCCAGCCGCTGGCAGCTGCAAATCCACCTTCTGCCCTGACACGCCTGTTTCGGACCTTTCACGTTTCTGTCGCAGCACACAGCACATGCCTTTTGTGACTGGCTTCTCCCACTCTGCACGGTGCTTTCACCCATGTGGCAGCAGGAACTGGTTCCTGGCTCCCTTTCCCGCTGAATCCTGCAGCCCATATGGATACAGGGTATCTTATGTATCCCCGGGACATTTGTGTGTTTTTTCCGTTTTGTTGCCATGGACGTCGGTGTACAGTGTTTGTACGCATTTCCATTTCTCATGGGCATAACTAGGCGCAGGTTGCTGGGTCACATGCCACCCTTGTTAGGAATTGTTTTCGAAAGTGGCTGCACACTTTACATTTCCTCCCGTGTTACAGGGAGGTTCTGATTTCCCCATGGTTCTGCTGACCTTTTTACTGGGTCTTAAATTATAGCCATCCTAGTGGGTACAAAGTAGTACCCTATTGCGATGTTGACTAACGTTTCCCTATTGGCTAATGAAATCAAGAATATTTTCATGCTTCTGGCCACTTTTGTGCCTTTATGCAACCTCTCTGACTCCTATTCACCCTGAAGTCCGTCTCTTGCTCGCTGGGCCCTGGATGTCAGCCGCGTGAGCATGGCCCACGGCACAGGCCTGCAGAGAGGCTGCCGGAGCCTGGTTGGTAGTGGACCGGTGGCCTGTTCTCCCCACCACAGCGGCCAGAGGGGCTGCTCCATCTCTGCAAATCATCGCATGAGGCACCAGGAGAAGGCAAGCACTAGGGGGGCACAGATGCCTTTGCCAGCGAGGCTGTGTGGACTCGTGATGCCCACCGGGCTCTGAGGAGCTGGGCGGCTGCGCGTGTCCTGGAAGGGACACACCGTCACCAGAAGAGGTCGCACAGGGACCTCACAATGCCATGCTGAAGAGGCGGTGACTGCGGGACCCGGCAGTGGAGCAGGTGGAGGCTGGGCCCTGCTAGATGATGCGTCAGTGATGGCGGGCAGTCTGTGGTTTGGGGGAGGGTGGACCCATGACCAGAGCTTGCTGTCGTCAAGGCAAATGTCTCCCGGAGCAGCCATGGGGCGCCTGATGCGGCGGTGGCCAGCTGCGAGGCACTAGGGGCAGCTGTAGGAAAAGAAAAGGCAAGGAGTGCCTTTTCTCCCATCTCTCTCTCTCTCTCTCTCTCTCTCTCTCTCTCTCTCTCTCTCTCTC